AAGGAAAACAGGGCACCCTGAGACGAGCATGCAAACACCAAACATAAGACATCCAATACTAGTCTCGAACCTAGGACCCAAATTCTGTGAGGCAACACAAGACTCCACAATGCAGTGCTTCCCTTTAGAGACTAAATGTATACGTAAAATTAAAAAATGATACATAGAAATTAACACAGCATTTAAATACGTAGTCCGCACACTCTGAGAAAAGAGAGGATTATGGTGTTGGAAAAGCTGTAGACAGCCAGATGTCATTGTTGGTTATTAATTGATGCTAAAATTGTTGCAGCAGTTAGACTGAATGCAAATGGACAATTTATAACTTGTAAATATATTGAATTAAAAGCATAATGTTTTGTTGTTTTAACAAAAAAGCGTTATTTTTTAAATTATTTTAAAAAAGATTGTATTTTTTTAAATCACATTTAACTTCTTTCACTTCTAAATGTGCTCAGTTTGAGCATTCGTGCTTTGAATGAAAATATTCACTTGACAAAATGGGCATACATCATTTCTAATACAGCCAAATGAGACATCACTGGAAGAAGGGGAATACTTTTGCAAGGCACTGTATTTACCGCATGTTATTCCTCATCATCAAAAGCAACAGTCATGCAGGCTGCAAGGCTCTGAGAATCTAGGCTTAAATGACAACTCATTAGGATTTATTACATTGTTATCACATAGTAAGCTGAGCTTTGAAGCAGTTTTCAGTGAGGTGTACAATTCTTAGTGACTTAAAACTGTTGACAGTCATACTTCACATCCTAGACATGCTTCAACAGCTACAAATTGCATCCAGCAAATACTCTGATAAGAATAAGTTCACATTGCCCTGTCACAAGCCCTGTCTCACAATGTATTGTCAGCATATACTGTACAGCACATACAGCAGAAAGGCTCCGTTGTTGTCAGTTGTAACGTCTAGTAGAGATCATTCCACATTATTATTAACAATTAACATTGAGTTTAAGTGCAAAAATAGGAATTGAAGAAACGGAACCCAGATAAAATTCCCAGATGATACTAGATCTTGGCCTCACTCCCAGAATGGTACTTGCACTTTGTCTCTATTTTTTGGTCCTTTAGTTTGCCCATATTTTCGAGATTGGAAATGTAATACCTTTTAAAATATTTGGATGTACATAGCACCAAACATCAGTTGCAGTTCTGAATTATTTAGAACTACTTCCTCATTTCTTTAGGTATTTATGATGTCATTGTTTTTCTCTTGATTTTAAAACCTAATTAGAGTGTATGCGATGTCAATAATATCTTTGTAAAGCAATAGACAATATGTTACATAAAATGTATTTTCTTAAATTGTGTGTACCTTTTTCAAGTGCATTGTATTGCTAACATTTTTAATTGCACAATGAGTTAAAATTAAATAAAATCTATGAAACGTGCTGCTTTTTTAATTGCAACATGTGATCGTATTTATTATGCTAGAAGTGTTAATCTGTTGAAGAGTAACGTGTTTCACCAGAAGGCTGGAATTACATAAATTGCTCTGGTTTAAATTAGGAAGTAAAATATGTGACATTTTCTTAATACCTCTAAAAACTGATGATTTTAGTTAATACTCTTACTTGAGCAGTTAAAAAGAAACAAGTATTTTATTGTGCATATCTAATGAAAATTACTGAAATCTATGTCATTTAATCTTTTCTTTAATCTTTGCAGCAGAATTATCTTTTGTTTCATTAAAAAAATAATTACAGAGTAGGAATTTGATCGTGAAAAATATATAATTAAGCAAACATATAACTATGGCAAAACTCCAGATTTAATATTCATTAAATTACCTTCAGTTTTAATTTTTCTGTAGATGTTTCCTTTTAATAATTAGCATTATCCAGATGTTCGTTTTTGAAGGCCAGTAAGCCATGATGATACCAATGATACTAGTCAGTGTTAACATCTCCATGGTCTAAGAAACCTCGGGTAACCAATTAAAGTTTTTGCAAAGCTACAGTTTCTGCAAATTGTACTGTAAGATGATTGCTTCCTTTAGTTGCTCTATATGTTGCATACTGTATATACTGTACTGCATTCAATATACATCTAAAGGGGAAGGAAACAATATATGTATCTTTCATTTCAGCCCAAAAGTCTTTATTATTATTATTTTTTATGTTGGTATGCCAATTACAGAAGACAATGTTACAGTACATTCCCAGACACCTGCTGAAACACTCTCTTTTCAATTGGGATGAACATGGGTGCAGAGGTGATTACTGGCTGCCCAGTTTTGCTGCCGTTGTTTAATCATTTAATTAGTTATTATTTGTTATTTGTTTTGTTATTGCTACAGAAAGTTGTTTCTATTTTACATTTCAAGTAACAGGACTGTAAGAGAAGGTTTGCAGTAATACAAAACATGAAGAAGAATTGATCTAGGAGTAGGATTACAAGATGGCAGACCTTGTTTCAGGCTTAAGGGCTTAAGACAGAATATAATAAAATAAAATATAATAAAATCTGGGATGGCAGGTTTCGGGGTTTAAAAGACATTATCAAATCTAATGAGTTACTTTTTGCAAGAGACTTATGTAAATAATACAATAGATTAAAATAAGAATGACATTTGTAATATTACAAACTTTAGCTTGCTGTCAGGGTGGCCCTAAAAATACAGTCCACGAGGAACCTTTCACTGTGTTCAACCCCTGACAAATCCTGTCGCATTGCCACAACTGCTTCCCATAGGCAAACAAATCTAGGGACCCATGTTTCAAGTGTGCATTGTGGTAGAGAAGTGCTTCAGTCCAGTATAATTCTGGTGCTCTAAGCTACTTCATATGGACAGATCATAATGGGTTTATCTTAAACTATGGAGATACTAGTTTATGTCTGATGTTGCCTGATTTCCTGTACTGTTGGGAAATCTTACCCACATGAGGGTGAATTCTTCATTCTACGGGAAATGTGAATATGTCCAAAGAGGCAGTGCTGCGTGGAAGGTGTAGCTTGGCGGAACACCTTCACATATTGACTCATCACTGCATGCTTTGCTGCTTCATACATTTGGATAGAGATCCAGCCGTCTGAGTGCTGACTTTAACACAGGATGAGAGTGTAATGGGTTTCAGGATCTCAGTTGTCTTTGCATGGAAGATCACCGTGCTTCACAACTGCAGAGGCAAATTGCTCACGGGGGATAGCAGCCTGGCTGGAAGTTCCTCTCTGGTGGCAGAATTCACATCACTCTGAGCCTCTGTGAAACCAATTTGTTCAGCTAAGATCAATACACTGCTCTCCCTGCAAAAGGTTTTTGAAACTTATCAGGATACATTTACATAAAGGAGAAGCCAAAAAATCTTAAAAAGGGTTTTTCATTATTTTTTTTCAAGACCATCTACTCTTTTCGGTCATCTTATTCTACAGAATATGTGTTTCATATCCTTTTACGTGACTTCAAAGCCAACCGTTTCTTTTTTTTTGTAGCACTTGAGCTCACTATTCCATCAGAGAGGTGTTTCTGGAAAGATCTGTTGCAGGTTTAATGTGAGGAAAGTGTTTTAGGGCAGTATTGGATAAATGCATTAATGGATTATATACTAGGATTAATGGGATTCACATGATGAGAACTGATATAAATGCTTGACAACCATACTCAACTTTAAGAATGTTTTTAAACACAGACCACACAGAACCACACTTCTCACATTTGAAAAGACAATGTATTAGTTCCTCCATTTAGAGCTTTGTGAACTACGCAAAGAGTAAAACAAACCTAGCCCCCAACCTCATCTAAATCCCTTTTTTACAGACCATCCTCAAACGTGAAATTTTTTGAGTGTGGCTAGAAAACATAAAGCATGAAACTGTAGTTTTATGTTTATGTTTGATTTTTGGTTTTCATTTATTGATCCACCATATTATACTTACTGTATACATATTATACAAAACCTGTTCCAGACACCAAAAATTCTTTGTGTAAGGAAGTGCCTACTGACTTCAGTTTTAAATGCACTTCCACAACCTTCTTTAAGAGAAACAACATGGTAGGCAGTACATCCCAGTATGGGCAGAGTGTTGTAACTCACTGGGAGTAAGCTTTAACCTCTAAATAGAGGAACATAAGAACAATTACTAATGATACTGAGCCATTTAGCTGTTTATCTTGCGTGTTTTTTTTTTCTTTCAGTAGCTAATTGATTAGAGGATCTCATTCAGAAATCCATTTTAAATTCACTTCCCCAAATTTTCCACTTGTGCACTTCAGTTCATGTTTCATAATTGCTTCTGAAGAAGATACTAGATTGTATAATTGTGATATGACATCCCATGGAGATTTTAATTCTGCATTTTTATATGTACAGTATAAACGTTGTATTTATGTTTTAGTACCCCATTTTATACATTATATGATGATACAGTAAATTTAACTGTGACAAAAAAAAAACTCATGGATTATGGCTCTTTAAAACAAGGGTTAGGCACTGGGGGGGAAGTATAGAAAAGTAGAATAAAAGTCAATACAAGCTCAAAACAAGTGTAAAAATATAAAACTTTGCACTTGTACAATACTGTAATTGCATACTCAAAGAGAGACTGAGGTTAAAATGTCTCTGCATTTAAGACCTTGTCATCCTCCATTAAAACTTGGTCCAGATGTTCACAAATGTACAGTAGCTGTAAAAGTGCAATTTTGAAAGTTTAACACAAGACAATGTTGGTGTGAAACTGTTTTGTTTGTTTTTGTCACTAAAAAAGTTTTGCGATGTTACCTGAATGGTATTTGGAGGTGGAAACCCTGAAGCTCATTTTTGCAAGGAGTGAAAATGCTTGAAAATCAACAAGTATTGTTCATCTTTCAGAGAAAAAAAGAATATGATCATGTTGCATTATCAAAGTAGCTTCAATATGAATATATATTTATGTCCCAAAGACATATTTGGGTCACACCACCGGTGCTTGAATCGCAGATTTCCTTGCTTTTTTCCTGTCGATTGGGACGATAAACTTTTATTTCCCGTTTGTTTTCACAGCAAGAAAAACTGGGTGACATCTGCTTTTCCCTTCGCTATGTGCCTACTGCTGGTAAACTGACTGTTGTCATTCTGGAGGCAAAGAACCTGAAGAAGATGGACGTGGGAGGCTTATCAGGTGAGGAATGATAGGGCAACTTAGAGAGAAGCAATCTAAACTATCACACTCCGAGATGGCAATACAGACACACTGTAATCCAGTCTCAGCTGGCAGCCTGAGATAAGTATGGGCTTGAACATTCAGTCTCCCAAATCACAGGAGCCCATTTTGTAAAGAAAATAGTAGTTGGCAAAGACTCTTGATGAATCTGGAATCTCACACGGAAAACCTTCATTATACATTCTGATTGCTTTTTTTACATTTTTTCTAATGGTCTGCAGATGAAATTTTAAATAAACGCCATTGCTCAATTTCACCCCAGGTGACCTAAAGCTGCATGGAATTTGCATTAAAGTAGAGGGAGGAAAAAATCCCTCTGTATGTGATGAAATTATTGTAAGGCATTGGGCTCTTGTAACTAATTCCTTTTTGAATCAAAAGCATTGAGCTCTTCCTTGTAACTCATTTTTCCTTGAACCAGTCTCCCTTAATTACATGTAAGGGAGCTTTCTTTTTTGTTTCGTTTTAATTGTTTGGCCACAATTGCTTTGTATTCTTTAAATGTCCACGTTTTCAGAAATCCTCCATGTTCATATCTTAATTGCAAGGCTTTCAATCTACATTAAAGGTTCTTGCAGAATTATTTGAGGGCACATGATGTTAAATTGTCTATATTGTGAATACTGTGCTCTGCAAGCTGCAATTCTCAAAATGCAGTTGTTTTAAGCCCAAATCATAGAGGGATTTGCAGCAGGTTCCAAACACAACAGTACTGCATCTGCTGTCGTGTGTGAAAGCGTAGGTGATAGCATAAGAACGGCTGTGTTTACTGTGCTCTGGCTGGGTTTGTTCCCATTAAAGCTTTGCGTGACAAGTTGTTGAAAATGATTTATTCAAGGTCACAGTAAACCTTAACAGTCTAGTCCCCTGAGAGAGTTTGTTTCTGAGAGAGCTGCACTGTCCCTTTCTGCCATTTTCACCCATGTGAGCCAGAGTTACTGAAGGATGTGCCAATTAGTCCCCGTTTAGGAGGCGCAGCTGGGTGACAAAATAAATTGCACCTCTGGAAAAACTATTTTCTATTGAAATGAAATGTAATCTTTTTTTTTCTTAAATGCTTTTGCGCTGTATTCTACACTGTGAGAATATACAGTATGTGAGACATGGTTACAAAAGTGTAAGCATTTTGAATTTGTTTCCAGCTGATGCTGTTACTAAGTACTGACCTCTGTGTCTTCAAGTGTCACGGGTTGTGGCTGGTGGAACGCATCTTTTTTTCTCAGTCACGTCCTGCTTCCAATCCATCAGAGTACAGAAAAAGAAAATGATGGATATCAACCATTCTCCCAAACTAAGCCTTCCTTACTAATTGTATTAGTTGCAAAAAGCATATCTGTTTAAAATGTTACATGGAATAAAATGCCTTAGATGGAATTTTAAGTATGAAACTAACAAAAATAAATGCATGCTGTCCCTTTAAAAATAAAAGGATCGTAGTGAAAAAGTTATACAGTACTCTTGATGACAGGTGCCTGTGGGTTTTTTTTTCAAATGTGGCACTGAAATCACAACCCTGTTTATATACCCTGTTTATTGCAAATAAATATCAGACTCAGTTTCCAGGGCTAAATGAAAGGGTTTCTGTCAATATATTATTTGCTTGTAAATCAACAGCAGTTCTATTAAGATGTTTTTAAAGGCGAGGAGCGATGCACTATAACTGGCTTTAGCTACAGTACAGCAGGCACCGGAGCAGCTGGTGCCATAAGCAATGAATCGACTCTCCTCAATTATGAGCTGAGCTCAGTCAACCTTCTTTTCTTGGTATTTTCCTGGGCAGGGCTTGCACAATTGTGTAAAATTGCTTGAAGTAGTGCGGTGCGTCTGTAATATGAATGAATGTCTGCAGGGGATAGAGGTGCAATCTCTGACACACACTCACATACATATAAAACTCTTCTTAAGTACAATCTTACAGTGTTATGTCATGACTAAGCAATGAAACGGAAAGACTTGCATGACAAAAAATGTAAAAAGTAGCAAGGGATTGGGTGAAGAATCCTGCAGAGTGCAGGAAACTGTACCTTGTTAAATTTCTAAAAACTATGGAACTGGACAACATATGGAAGAAATTGGTTGAGAGTCAATTTGCAAAGAATGATAATTGTTGTTATAATTTGTGCTCAGTTCTGAATTCAGTATGAAATTGAATTAGTTCACCATTAAATATAAATACAAGATTGATTTTGTATGTTACAGTATTGTATCCGAATTCATAATCCTTATCAATATTTTCTCAGAAAGTCTGGGCTTTGCTAAATTTACATATATATTTTTTTGCTATTCGGTTCCCATTTTTTGTGGTATCTCCTTTCTTGCTGTTGGTAAAGAGGCAGGTTTGTAGTTTGTGAATAATACCAGAAAAACTGGCAAAAGCACGTGGGTCTTAAAAAACACTTAACACTGTCTGCAACACACAAACACCCTTTCCTTGCACTTATTTCCACCAAAGTTAACCTTCACCTCAGCTGATTGCTTCTCTTATTCGGCTCTAGTTATTATCATTTTTTAATTGTTCACCACACCCCAGTTTATTACTTGTCATGCACCAGGTCTGTCCTGTAACTGTCTAACAGTACAACAAAGCTAAGGCCACCAGGTGTACAGTGTTTGTCCATCAGAGCTGTGAGGATAGTAGATTGGAACTTTGCTGTTCAGATTTCCATATTGATTAGACGTGTTAATTTTCATGAGTCTGCACTTTAAAACACATAAATAAACTCGGATCCACTTGTCCCTTTCGTTTTGTTTAAATCTTTGCATTTCAGTAATGCTTTTTTACTGTCTAAAGATACAAAAACACTTTACACATTAGAGGTCTCACCGTATCCTTGGAATGCAGGCATTATGAGTTCCACTACACAGCAGACCAAGTAGAGAAGTGAGAAACTGCTTCAACATTTGAATTAAGGAGGAACATTAGAGAAGTCAGACAGTGCTCTCCCAGAATGGGATTTAGCAAGGACACCAAGAATAACACCTCTGCTCTTATGAGGTTTCACAGGATCCGTAACAATCACATATTCAGGGTACTGGTTTTACCTGTAAACTAAAGAGCTAAATACCGCAACACACGGAAGACACAATATTTCCATTTAACATTGTTATACTTTATTGTATACTTTGATGGATAACAATTGTCTGTAGGGAAATCTGTAACACTACAACTGCTCACTTAAGTATAAATGTTAGAGGTTATGTATCAGTAAATGGTACTCTTACCTATGAAACACAATTACTAAATGTAATTATGCTATATTTCCAGTGTGCTCCCAGTTAATGAAAAGGTTGAACTGTAAACACAGGTCAAAAAGGATGTTAGAAAATCTAAGAGAAAAATCGGAATATTACAAAGGCGGCTAATAAAAATAACAACAACAATAATAAAAACTTATTTCATTACTTCCCCCGCAAAAGAAAGCATTTAGGATTTAGTAAACTGTAGCCAAGACAGCAATGGAAAACTTGAAGATGAAAGGGAAATGACAGATGTACTAGAAGAGTATTTCACTCAGGTGTTCACTACGGAAGATGCAGACAGCATGCCTCAGGGTGCAGAAGGAAGTTATTTATTAAACAGTATTTGCATAGAAGCAGACATGTTTCAAGTACTAGAAGAGCTGGGGATAAATAAATCTGTAGGCCCAGATGGCATCTTATCAATTGCACCCAAGGAAATGAGAGATGTTATTGTTTAACCATTGACTCAACTCTTCAGACAGTTGCTCAAGACAGAGATAGTACCCACAGACCACAGAATAACTAATGTGCCGATCGATAAGAAAACAACTGACACAAGTAATTATAGACCAACAAGTCTGACATGATTTCAAATTATGTAAAGTTATGGAAAGTATTATGAGAACTAAATTAGAGGGTCACTGTTACTTACTAACTTACTACCCAGCATAAGGACAATGACATTGTATACCATAAAAATAAATATATGAAATAAGTGCAGGTTTAATAAGGGAGCCCAAACAAAAAACTGCAACTACTACACCACCTAGGCTAGGTTATATACTATAAGCCCCACCCCTGGTCCTCTTGATGGACAGCTGAACCTCCATTTTAAGGGGTGGGTCAGCAGGCTCTGTAACTTGACACAAGATGGTGGAACAGACGGATATGAGACACCATTGTGGACCCACAACAGGTAACACATAACAAAATACAACCATACATATAATATAAAAATAGCATAGCAATAGATTCTACAAAAAGAACTACATGATAGGCCACAAGGCCATGCAACAAAGGCCTAGCACAGCCTTTTGTCACAGTTACCTGTATGGATATAACATCCTAAGGAATAAACAACATAGAATTTTGAATAGGTAGGTCTTTCCAAACTTACTTGCTGAGTTCTTTGAACAAGCAACAACAATAGCGCCCACACACAGCATTTGATTTGGTGTATTGAAATTTTCAGAATGCTTTTAATAAAGCTCCTCATAAAAGATTTGTTCTAAAATAAGTGCTTGATATTTGGTAAAATGTGTGCATTTGGATTGAGAATTGGTTAATAAATATGAAAGAGAGTACAGATAAGGGGTAAATGTTAAAATGAGGGTGATGTTATTAGAGTAGTACAACAGGTATCTGTACTGTATCTGTAGGTAAAATACAGTAGAATGGCCTAACATCTGTCAAATTATGTTTAATGTAGATAAGTGCAAGAGTTTAGATGCAGGTAGTAAAAACATAACCTATAAATGCCGAGCTAGAAGAGGCTACTTCTGAAATAGACGTGGGTGTCTATATTGACACATCACTCACAGGACTTCTTTCAGATAAGATGGGAAAGCAGTAAAAAGACACAAACCAGTGGACAGAAGTTGAAACTAAATGGACGTGCATTTAAAACTGAGAATAGGAAACGTCTTTACCTAAAGTGTTTGGGAGTATGGGACAAGTTATCCAGTTGTGTGGTTGAAGCCAATAACTTTTTCTTTTTT